CCCGAGGCTGGATCTTTAAAGAGAGCCCATTTCTCTGCTCTGTCAGCTACCAGCTGGATCCAATGACTGCTCTAAAAAAAAAAAATGGTGCCCAACACTGATGGCTTCCCTACTTAAAGGCGGGGTCTTTGGTCCCAGTGATGGCCAGCCACCAGCCTTGCTTCCAGCCTTCCAGCCTTCCAGCCTCCCAGCCTCCCAGCCTCCCAGCCTCCCAGTCTCCCAGCCTCCCAGCCTCCCAGCCTCCCAGCCTCCCAGCCTTCCAGCCTCCCAGCCTAGGCACAGACTATGGGTCAAGAAGCCCACATTGGCCCTTACAAACCAAGTCCTTCCGTCATCCTTTTCATTGCTAACCAAGTGCAGTACCTCATGGAGCAGACACGGCTCTCCCTGTCCAACCTTTCATGCCACAGAGCCAGTGAGTCTAATAGAAGGATTATTATCCCCTGCTAGGTCTGGGCGGTTTGTTTTGCAGCCGAAGGGCAGAACAGTAGCTCCTTGAGTAACTTGCATTATTGTAATAGCATTGCTTTTTATGCAGAAACCAAAAATTCATCTCCCTACGCACACCACTGTTTGAACCTTCCCAACAATTACTTCTGAATGTAAAATTAATGGCCTTCAGAACCCTCGTTAATCACAGCGGTGCGTGCACTCGCGTAAGAGCTGGCATGAGGAAGAAACTGCACATTAGTCTCTGCCTGACTGTGAGGGTGCTGGTGTTCTCGCGCACAGACGCGCTGTTCCAGACGTGTGGAGAGGTTCTTCTGGTGGCGGGAGAGAAGAACAGAGCCAGGCACGGAGGTGTAGGCCTGTAATCCCAGGAGCCCCAGGCAGGAGGATGGTTAAGTTTTACGCCAGCCAGGGCTACAGTCATGGTTTGAATCTCAAAGTCCCCCACAGTCTCCTGCATCTGGATACATGGGTCCCAGCAAGTGGTGCTGGTCCCAGAGGCTACGGGACACTGGAGAAGGCAGCCTCGCTGGAGGACAGAGTTTACTTGCAGGGTGACGGTATTGTTGGGCTCTGCTTCTGGCTTGGTTCTCTCTGCGAAGAGAGACCCAGCAAGGTGTGGAGAGCTTTGGGTTTAGGATCCCACTGCTGTGACTGTCCCAGCTTCCATGCCTTCCCCAAAATGATGGACCATATCCCCCCAGAACCATAAGCAGGAATAAACCTTCCCTTCAATGGTGGCAGGAATTTTTGTCACGGCAATGAGAAAAGCCACTGCCACAAATACAGAGAGATGCTGTCTCTACCGAAGGGCAGAACTGAGTTTATGTCTGTCATCCCAGCATCCAAGAGGCTGAGACAGGAGGATTGGGGCATAAGGTCATCCTTGGCCACAGAGTGAGTTTGAGCTAGCCTAGGCTACATAGGACCCTGATCTGTCTTTTTTTTTTAAAGATTTATTTATTTATTATGTATACAATATTCTGTCTGTGTGTATGTCTGCAGGCCAGAAGAGGGCACCAGATCTCATTACAGATGGTAGTGAGCCACCATGTGGGTGCTGGGAATTGAACTCAGGACCTCTGGAAGAGCAGCCAGTGCTCTTAGCCTCCGAGCCATCTCCGCAGTCCCCATCTATATTTTAAACTATGTGAACACAGGAGTGAAGAGAGAAAGTTTGCTGGAGGCTGAAAAGCCAAGACTGGGAACCCGTCCCCTGCTGAGCGCATTAGGGTCTCCTGGCGATGGAGAGTGCAGATGCTGGGGGAACCCAGAGTGGAGGGCCCTGGCTTACACAGCGCTGGCCCTGGTGCTCCTCTGGTTTGCGTGTGGTGTGTCCCTTTGTGGCCACTGGGGACTAAGAGGCAGGGTTTTCGGGTGCTGGTGCTTGGAAGGAAGGTATCTTAGTTCAGGTTCCTATTGCTTGATTGATAGAACAGCATGGCCAAAAGTGACTAAGGGAGGAAAGGGTTCATTTCAGCCGACAGCTCCAGGCTCACACCCCATCGCTGAGGAAACCAGGGCAGGGCTGGAGGCAGGAGCTGAAACAGAAGCCACGGAGCAGAGCTGCTTACTGGCTTGCTAGGCTTGTCTGACCTCTATTTTTACAGCGGCCCTGACCGCCTATCCAGGACTGGCACCACCCACAGTGGGCTGGGCCTCCTAAATCAACCATCAGAGAAGAGAATGCAGCAGGTCTTGCCCGTGGGTAGGTCTGACAGAGGTCTTCCCTCAGTTAAAGTTCCCACAACCCAAATGCCCTAACTTGTGTGGAGCTGACATAGAGCTAGACAGGACAAGTGGGGTCAGTGAGCACTGGTGGGACCCAAGAGGGTGCTTATTCCAGAAGGGCAAGGCTAGCCCCTGCCTGTTCTCCACTGGCCATCTCATCCAGTAATCTGTTCCCCATGGGCCCTTCCACAGAGTTACTAGATGGCATGGGTGCTCTCGGACTTCCAGCCTCTCAAACCATGTGCTGCAGGAAAACACCCCCACCCCTATTTTGAGACAGTTTCTCTCTGTGTAGCCCAGACTGGCCCCAAATTCGTGATCCTCCTACTTCATCTTCCTGAGAGCTGGGATTACAAGTGTGTACTACACTGCCCATCTTATACTTTTTTTTTTTCAGACAGTGTTTCTCTGTATAACTGCCCTAGCTGTCCTGGAGCTGATTGGCCTGGAACTCACAGAGATTTGCCTACTTCTGCCTCCCAAGTGCTGAGATTAAAAGCATGTGCCACCACTGCCAGGCCCAAAAAATTGTTTTTTTCTTGTGTGTGTGTGTGTGTGTGTGTGTGTGTGTGTGTGTGCGCGCGTGCGCGCGCACGTGAGTGCAGGTGCACTTGGAAGCCAGAAGAGGGCTCCAGATCCCCTGGTGCTGGAGTTACAATGGTTGTGAGCAGTTCAATGTGAGTGCTGGGAACTGAACTCGGGTCCTTTGGAAAAACACCAGGCACTCTTACCATTGAGCTGTCTCTCCAAGCCATTAGCCCTCATTTATTAATAACCACCATTGGGTATCTTGTTACAGCTATGGAAGAGAAATAAATACACGACCAAATCTCTACCAGATCTCCTAGAATATGGCCTATCCTCTCCCATCTCTCAGGGCAGGGCCATGCTCTCTCTACTGTGCCCTCCGCACAAACATACTCCCTCCTCCAAAATATATCTGTTCAGACCCTCTGCAGGGCATCACGCTCCTGGAGAGGCTTCAAGCTCCTAAGACACAGGAACAGCACATTTTTTCCCGCTGACAGTTACAAAGGGAACATTTATGATCACCCCCTCTGACTCTCTGTAAACTTTTGTGTGTGTGTATTTCTGGGATTCAAACCCAGGGCTGTGAGTATGCTAGGTGAGACTTGTTCATTTCTAGCAAACCAACATTTAACTGATCCCCGAAATGCCACAGGCAAGACAGTTTTGGGAAAACCCTGAGGGGCAGTGGTGAATCAATGTTCTGCAAGAGACATGGGAGCTGGGAGGCTCTGGGCTGGCAACACAGAGGTGAGGATCGACCCCACTGAGGCTTTTGGGTAATCGGGTACTGATCCCCAAAAGGCTAGAACACTTCCCTCCATGTTGCTTTTGAAGGAATTTCTCAGGCACTTGAGGCTAACTGACAGTGTGTTCTAACGTTTATCAGTTATGACCTTAAACTCTCAGTGGTGAAGCATGCTGCTGAATCCCCACACTGGGAAAGCTGAGGCAGGAGGATTGTCACACATTCAAGACCAGCCAGGGCTACATAGAGTACCAGACCAGGCTCCACAGGGAGCTCCTGCCTCTGCACCCACCCATTCCAAAAAGGCTGGATGCAGTGGCTAGGCCCTTAATCCTAGCAATTGGGAGGCAGAGGCAGATGTGTCTCTGTGAGTTCAAAGCTAGCTTGATCTTCATGGAGAATTTCAGGACAACCAGGACTACATAATGAGACTCTGTCTCAAAAAGAAAAAAGTTGCAAAGCAAGCAAGCAAAATAATAATAATAATAAAATAAATAAATGTTAAAGAAGTCTTGAGAAACAGCATCTCTTGAGAACTTTCTCCTGCCACCGAGCAGAGCGCCCCCTTTTGGGCCTAAACCTGAAGAGCCTTAAGCTCTCAAGCGCCAGAGCATCAGCTCCCCCTGGTGGCCACCTGCACTGCCACAGAGCTTTGCAGATGCAGGGGAAGTGGGGATGCTGCACCAAGAGAAGCTGATACCCTGGACCCAGCCAGCCCCAAAGCTGTAGGGGCTGCTGAGGGGCGGGTGCTTCCAGCTATACTGACAAGTCACGTCGTCCACTCCCTCTCTGTCCCACAGGTTTTATTTCCTATTGCCCCAAAGCAGATGTATTTATTGTTCCTTGGACATCGAGGTCCACTTTTTCTGGAAACAGCATCTCGTTTTCTTTTGAGGACTCTCCCACAAGCAGCCAGCTCATGTGATTCCTGAAGAACCCCATCCCCAGGCAGCACTTCAGGTGCAAAGTAATCCAATGAGATCACGTGGCCCGACTGTTTCCTGAAAGCTGGGCCTCCTTGGGCCGTTTCCTCCCTTCCCCTTTTTGGTGTTCTCATGAAAGGAGCACCCCCGACCCCCCACTGGGCATCCTAACCTGGTCCACAGCATATACCCTCCCTTACACAGAAATGGGGTGCGTTTCTCCTGGTTGTGGGAAAGCCTGCTTAGAGATGAAGCTGACAGAGAAAATGAGATCTGAGGGGTGCTGGACTGAGCGTTGCCTAAAGTCAGAGTCTCCTGGATATTTAAAACCCTCCCCCAACCTCTCTCTTCTTCCTATTTATTTATTTATTTATTGAGATAGGATATCACTCTGTAGCCAAGGCTGGCCTGAAACTCACTATGTAGCCCAGGCTAGCCTTTAACTTGTGATGATCCTCCCAAGTGTCGGGATTAGAGGAGGGAGCCATCAGGACCGGTTTAAATATTTTCTCACATGGGTAGGAATCGGGGGTCCTAATCGCATCCAGATTTGCCTCCAGCCCTCTCTGCTACTATCAAATGTCCACATTGCTGCTTAAGTTTGTAAACGCAGAGACCCATTAATCAAAACCACATTTATTATTTAAAGAGTATTCCCACAGGGGCACCTGGAAAGCAGTCCCCCGAGGAGAGAGTAATATATACATGGGGTGGGGAGGTTGAGGCCGAGTGGCCCCAAGGCTGAGTGGGCCGGCCACTGTGGAAGAGAGTCCTCGGACCTGTGGACTGGGTCCATGAGGAAAACTGTTCCGTGTGAGGCCCAGTGTGGAGCCTACCATGCCGGTCTGGAGCGTCAGACCAATGCCGGCTCTGGAGGCGCAAGCAGCGAGATGAGGCTGGGTCAGGGCTGAGTCACCATGCCGCTGGCTTCGGAGTGAGTCTAGGGAAAGAGCAATGAGCTTCCAAGGTCTCAGACACTTTTCCCAACACTCTGTAACTACTGCCACCTCCCCAGAAGCCTTTGGGGACCCACCTGTGCGCTAGTGTGCCCTCTGATAGGTCCAAACACAGGTCTCCCCCAAACTTCTACCTTCTTTAATAAAGTCCCAGACAGTCCCACCCTAGACCAACTCACCTTTATGGCCTTGAAGATCCACTCTCGGAAGTCAATGACTTTGGTGTACACTCCTGGCTTCTGGGCCAAAGCACAGCCCGTACCCCAGCTTACAATGCCACAGAGCCGCCATCTTGATGTCCCTGAGATGCTGTCCTCACATACGAATGGGCCGCCACTGTCACCCTGGTGGGTGGGATGGGACACCTGGCTGGAGGCCGCCATGGCTCAAGCGGGGGAGCATTACCCTGGCCCCGTCTCTGTAATGTTGGCTCTGGGAGCTGCCCCCCCTGTGCCCCTCACCTGGCAAGCATCAATGCCACCCTCGGGATAACCGGCGCAGAACATCTTGGGTTTGATCTGATTCCCGTAGAAGTCAGGGCTGTTGCAGACCTCGCTGCTTATGATGGGGACCCGGGCCTCTTGGAGCACCACAGCCTGCTGGCCTGAGGGGATGTGGGTAAGGTGGCCAGAAAACTGGCAAACAAGTCCTCCCCTCCTGGTGCCCACCCTATGGCCTCGGGATCCCTTAGAGGTTCACCTAGCCTCCCCCACCCCTGCAGCCTCAGGTTCCTCTAATGGCGTGACTGGCGGGACCTGGAACTCACCGTAGAACTGTGTGTTGCCCCAGCCGGTCACAGTACAGACCTTGCCATCCACCAGGGCCTGTCCCGCAGCGGGGAGACACACAGGCTGAATGTATTCTGTGAGAGAGAATGGAGCAGCCCAGTCCCCACCAGACATTCTGTCCCTTGTGGGACGCAGCCATTCAGCCACCTCACCCACCACACAACCCCAGTACACCTTATCACTACCACCATGGAGCCTTCTTCATCCAGTGTGTGTGCGCCGCTTTCCCAAATCTTTTCCTTCCATTCCCAGTCATCCCAGGGAGCCGGGATTGACCTTTGCCTCAGGAAGGACAGGAAGCCACGTCACCCGTCCAAAGTTTCATAGAAGCCAATATAATCAGAACTAGAGCCTAAGGTAGCTCAGTTTCCCAAATTTGGGCTCTTAACCATGGTCACGGGACTATAACCAGCTCAGAGGCAGGAAACAGGAACACATGCCCTGCCCTGCCCTTGAGACCCTTGGCTTCTACCTGTCAGAAAACTCATAATAAACACACAGGCCTCCGAGGGCATTGGCTTCCCTAAGATGAAGTATCCCTGTGCAGTGCACAGCACACGCAAGCAGTCCTGGCAGCCCTCGCTGTTGCCATGACGCTAACTCAGCCTCCCTCTGCATCAGCAACTCAATGCAAAATGCAAACAAGGATTCTTTCCCAACCAGGGGTTATAGCTCAGTGGTAGAGTGCTTGCCTATAGTGCACAAGGTCCTAGGGTCGATCCCCAGCACTGAAAGAAAACACAGCATACACACAAAATAAGTTCCCTGAAGAAACCCTGCGGTAGGAAGTGGATGTGGTGTTGAAAACACGAATTGTTATAAGAAGTATAAACAGCAACAGAGAGGACTGTGGGAGAACGAAGTGAGTCCAGACTCGGGACACGCCAAGGCCGACGAAAGCACACTGTCACTTGGCAACAAGCCGACACTGAGAAATGTGTCCTCAGATGATTCTGTCATTGTGTGCAAACCCTAAGAGGCCCCTTCATGTAAATTAAGATGACTCTGATGTCACAAGGCCATCTTATCTCCACAGGACCACAGTCATATAGATGCTCTGTGACCAAAATGACCTCATGCAGCACACGGCTGTACGGAAGCTCAGCACGTTACTGTCCTTACTTGTTTACTGTTATCTAGTTAGTTAGTTACATGGGGCGTTTTGAGGAAGAGTCTCTCAAAAAAGCCCAGGCTGGCCTCAGACTCAAAGTCTTTCTTCCTCAGACTCCCTCGGTGCTTACATGGCAGACATGAGCTACATCAGCTGGTTCTCCACATTTATTTTTAAGATTTATTTTTAGGGGCTGGAGAGATGGCTCAGCGGTTAAGAGCACTGGCTGCTCATCCAGAGGTCCTGAGTTCAATTCCCAGCAACCACGTGGTAGCTCACAACCATCTGTAATGAGATCTGGTGCCCTCTTCTGCCCTACAGGCAGGATACTGTATGAATAAATAAATCTTTAAAAAATTTATTTGTATTTGTGTGTGTGTATGTGTGTGTGTGTATACCTATGGAGTTCAAAAAAGGGTGTCGGATCCCCTGGAGCTGGAATTAGAGACAGTTAGGAGAGGCTGGACGTGGGTTCTAGGAACTGAATGAGGGCCCTCCATAAGGATAGCAAGAGCGCTTAACCACTGAGACACTGCCCCATTCCCTCTCCATGTGTTTTAATTATGAATGGTGTCTGGAGGGGCACAGCCTTGCTAATGATGACTGCAGCTTCGCACAGCCATAATTCATTCGTCTCACAATTCTCCGTGTTAGAGTGGATGTGAGTTGGCTTTGGCATCTTCCCAGACTGGCACACTGCCACCGTGTTCCACTTCAGAACACTTTGTCTCCCCCAAAGAAACCTCAGATTCCTGACCCATCTGCAACACCTCCACCCTAACTGCTCTCCTACCTGGGTGGCCTATTCATTTACTGAGTGTCCTGTGTAGCCTAGGCTAGCCTAAAATTCATTGTGTGGCCAAGGCTAGCCTTGAACTCAATGCTCCTGCCTCCTCCTCCTACTGCTGGGGGAATATGCCTTCACGCCCAGGTTACTATGACCGAATGGTTCTATTGAGAAATCTGCGCACTGGTTTCTGTGTGACCATCTGTAGCCCTTCTCTTCCATGTAGAAAAGGAATCACCGGGTCATGGTGACCGACTCCTTTACGGAAGGAGGCTCAGATAGTTGTGTATGGCAGCCATGCTATCTAGCATTTATGCTTTCTAACCTTCACGGCTAATGCCCACTTTGTGCTCCCTCAAGATGGGTCTATTATCACCATGGAAACCTGAAGATGGCTCTACTTTGCTTCACGGGCCCCTTTATTGATCCCCGAGTCTCTGGGAGTCCCCAACCTGAAGCTGGGTCTCCGGGCTTACCGGTGAGAGGCAGGGGACTGGAGAGGTGGACCAGAGCGATGTCGTTGCTGTTCTCCTCAATGGTAGGGTCTCGAAAGGGAAGGTAGCCCCCATGATAGATCACAGCCTTAACCCCCAGCTGCACGCCATGGGGCGAAGTCCGGGCCACAGCGCCAGCAAACACTCGCCATCGAGATAGGACCCGGTTGCGCCTGCCAGGACAGAAGGCACAAGTCCCTGGGCCCGGCCTCTGCAGCCCTCTCTCCTGCCCCACCCTCGGTAGGACTGTGGGGAACACTCACTCTGGAAAGCAATGTGCAGCTGTCAGCACCCAGTCCCCGGACAGCAGGGATCCCCCACAGAGGTGGGCCCCATCATAACGCAGGCTGACCTGCCATGGCCACCTTCCCAGGCTGCTGTCCTGGCCCCCCACAATGCGATCCACTGGCAGTTTTCTGCGGCCACAGTCTGTGGAGAAGTGACCAGAAAGGCTCAGAATTGGGGAATTGACTTCCAGGGCATAGTCTATCTCTGGGGGTGGGAGGAGACACAGCCCTGCCCCAGCAGTTCATGGGAACAGGGCGGGCTCTCCTTAACCTTGGACATGTGGAGATCCTGGGCAGTTTGTGGGGACACTCCACCCTGGAGTCCCAGGGTCCCAGGGTCCCAGGGTCCCAGTTCTGGCCTGTATCTAGAGAAGAGTTTGAGGCCTGGGTCTCACCTTGACAGACGACAGTCACAAATCGGCCTCTAGGGCAGTCGCTGAGAGAAGACACAGGACAGGAGTGGGGCAGAGAGACAAGCCAAGCGACCAGTTAGGACGATATTTGGAGGCCAGGGGTCCAGTGCCACCCGCAGTCGCCCTGCTCACCACACAGAGATGACATCCAGCAACCTCTGAGCCATCGGCAGGCCGCCCTCGTCCACACAGAAGAAGCCCGATGTACCGTTGGCGCCCGCGGTTCGCACATCCAACTCTGAGTGCGCCAGGGCCCTGCACGGGGCTCCAGTCAAAGCCACCTCCTGCCCCATTCCATACCATGCCTTCCCCTCCCCCGAGGGCCACCCGGGTACCTGAGGAAGCCCATCTCCTCACAGCCGAGCCCTGCCACCCTGGCGTTGGAGCGTGAGGAACACAGCAGCCTCCACGTCCCCTCCGTCTTGTCAAACACCGCAAGTCGCGAGTCCCCGGGGCTGACCTGCACTGCAGGGTGACAGAACCAGGCCTGGGTCCTACAGCGGCCGGACAACAGCTTTCCTGGCTGCCTGAGGTCCTGAGGGCTCTGGTCCTGCACCCCTTGTCGCCCAGGGGTGGTATCTGCACCCACTACTAGGTGGGATTTCACTAGTGGGTCTCCCTCCCCACTGGGATACCCATGCTGCTGGCACTTTCTCGGAGGCCAGGAACCAGAGAAATGATTTTATTTGACTTGCGGAGAAAGCAGAAGAGGGAGAGAAAGCCCGCACAGGGCGTTCGCTGTGTATGAACACGCCCAGATGCAGCCAGGTTTGGGAAACCGCCAGAAGGGGTCGGAAACCCTTGGCTAGTGGGCCAGGTCACTAAAACATTTAAAAAGAAGAAGCAGGACATGGAGAAAAGGGAGATTAGAAGGGTCTGGCGGGAGGAGGAGCCAAGACAGATGCCTGCAATTCTAGCACCCAGAAGGTGAAGACTACAGGTTCATGGGTTCAAGGCCAGTCTGAACTACCTACCAAAAGGGTGGTTTATGGTGGAACATGAGCCTAGAATTTTCCAAAGGAGGCATTAGCAGGAGGCTCGTGGGTTCAAGGATAGCAGAGGCTATCCATATTAACTGGATGTGGTGGCATGTCTTTAATCCAGGCACTCAGGAGGCGAGGCTGGCAGATTTCTGTGAGTTGGAGGCCAGCCTGGTCTATAGCGAGCTGCAGGGTAGCCAGGGCTTGGTAGAAGGAAGAGGGAGAAGGGAGAGTCCAGCTATAGCGAGCTGCAGGGCAGCTTCTATCAGCCAAGCAAAACCTGGGCGGTGGGACTCAGTGATTCCAGAGTCTCCTTAGCTCAGTGGAGGACTTCCACTAGCCATCCCAGCACTCAGGAAGCCGAGGCAGGAGAATTGCCACACGTTTGAGACCAGTGTGGGCTACATATTTAATTCCAGGCCAGCTGGGGCTACAGAATTAAAAGACCCTGTTTCAAAAAATCAAAACAAAAATCCCCCGGCCAATTTATCATCAATAACTGGCAAGAGTCAGGCACAAAAACACCTGCTATGTCAGCCCTTGGGAGGCTGAAGCAGGAGGCTTGTGGGTTTGAGGTCAGTCAGGGCTACAGTAAGTCTCAGGCAGAATGAAGGATGGAAGGGAGGGGGAGGAGGGAGGGAAAGGGATGGGATAATGCAGGATGGGGCTATATCAGAAAGGGTGGTTGGGGCAGTCTATATGGCTGGCCAGTGCTCGCTGGCCTTCCCTCTGTCCTCACAAGGTCAGAGAAGCCCTCTTCACACCTGAGTCAGGTCAGACCCCCTTAGGGGCATTTCTTTGTATTTACCAAACACGTTGAACGTGCTGGGTACTATTTTAAGCTGTAGATAAATCACACAAAATTTCTTCCTGTATAGAGTGCAAAGCCCAGGAGGGCAGACAGATGATGAGCAGGACGAACGGCGGAAACATGTCCTGTGTCCACAGCAGAAGGGGCCACGGAGACAGGCGAGGCCAACAGAAGGAATGGGGATCTGGGGTGCGGGGGCGGAGCTGCACTTTGCTGGAAGTGGGCAGAGAAGAACGGCTTTGCAGGGAAGGTGCCGCATGAGCAATGAGGAGACACAGACGAAGGAGGTGAGAAAGATGCTGCGATCTGAGAGGGGACCGAGAAGTAGGCCAGAGGAACCAAAGAGCAGAAAGCGGAGATCTGAAGGATGAGGCGGGGAGTTGGGTGAGGAACAGCCAGGAGGCAGAGAGAGGATGGACAGCATGCAGCCGGGCCAGGACTGAGCTGGTGGTAGGGGTCACACACTGACCTGACTCAGGGATGCATGAGTTCCTTCTGGCTGCTGGTGGGGGCAGACTGTAGGGGAACTGGAGCCCAGACTGTGACCTCGATATGACAGGGACAGAAGCTAAACCAGCAGAGGGCAGCACAGGGACTACCGCTGGATTCTCGGAATATTTGGGTACAGGACTGTCATCTCACTTACTTAGGAACCTGACGCTAGTGGATCAAAGTTCAAATCCTGCCTGGACTATTGAGTGAGTTCAAGGTCAGCCTAAGTAATTTAGGGAGACATGTCTCAAAATGAAATGTAAAAAGAGGGCTGATGGCATCCTTGCTCAATGGTAGAGCCCCTGCCTAGAATCCTCTAGTGAGGGGCTGGGGGTGTGGTTCAGTGGTAGAGCCCCTGCCTAGAATCCCCCAGTGAGGGGCTGGGGTGTGGCTCAGTGGTAGAGCCCCTGCCTAGAATCCCCTAGTGAGGGGCTTGGGGTGTGGCTCAGTGGTAGAGCTCCTGCCTAGAATCCCCCCTTAGGGTCTAGGGGCATGGTTCAGTGATAGAGCCCCTGCCTGTATGATTAAGGCCTTTAGTCCAATCCCTAGCACCACTAAAAAAAATAATAAATTATATGCACATCTCACAGATGGTGCACTAAACATCAAAGGGTATACTTGTTCAGAGCAGACAGCTAACCAACCAACCAGGATCTGAACTCAGACTGCCCGCTGGCTCCTACATTCTCTTTTCGAGACCCCTTGCTTGGGTCTCCAAAGAATCCTTGTCTTTCTCCGCTCTGCACACACTCTTCCATAGCAAGACTAAAAGCTGCTGAGGCAGCTTGCTATAAATATGGCCTCCATCTCTGGCCTTCATCAAACACTGGCTGACAGCTCCACTGAGTGGTACCTACCATCCCCCAACTCCAGATACAAACGGCAACTTGGAGTCAGTAGGCATCATTCCTAACTGCTCAAGAGATTTCCAACCAGACGGGCATTTTAGGGGGGAAAAGGCCGATATTTTTATGAATATGCGTTGGGAAGGTACTGGAAGTAAGGAGGGGAAAGATCAAAGGTGGTTTTTTCTTTTTTTTTTTTTTTTCTTTTTTCTTTTTGGTCTCTTTTTGGTTTTAGGAAGACAAGGTTTCACTTGGTAGCTGGATTGGCCCGAAATTTGTGCTTTCTTCTCCATGGCCTCATATCTCAGCACTCTAGGAGGTGCAATTAACGGGGTCCAGGAATGGGCCAGATCCCCATCTCGGTTAAAGCTGTGTGTGTAACAGCCCTGGCTCTCCTGGAACTCACTCTCCATTGCAGACCAGGTTGACCATGAACTGTGCTGGGACTAAAGGCGTGCACCACCACCACCAACCAGCCAAGGTTGGTGCTTTTATACATTGGCTAGATGGTTTCTTCAATTTGCCTTTGTGCTTTTTTTTTCCCCTAAGGCAGGGTCTTGGTATGTAGCCCAGGCTAGCCTCAAACTTCCCATCGTTTTGCCTCAGCCTCTCGAGGGCTGGGATTACAAGTATGCATGCTTAGCTCCAACTCCTCTTTATGCTTATTCTTAAAGGGGAGATTTCCCGAGCACCTACTACGTGCCGCAGACAGCCTGACCCATAAACAAAATTCTCTGCCTCCCTGGAATGCTCATAGACTGCCCTGAGAGGGCCCCATTATGGTAGCTGGTTGGCCCTGGGGATGAGAGGATATTCAGTGTGAACTTTAGGAAGGCCTTGCTGCGGGGAGGGGAGGGGGAGACCCTTTGTTTACAGTTTGGATAAAAGCTGAGCCCTGCGTGGATAAGCGGGACAACTGTCTCCTCTTTTCCCGCCTGGGTCTTCTCACCCCCATCCCAGATGAGGACATAGAAGCTCTCAGAGGGCCACAGCTCAGAAATGATGACAGGGAACCCCAGCAGCAGGTGGGGGCTGGTGAGTTCTGCCTGGGAGAGAGGAAGGTAGAGCGCCTGAGATTGCAGCCTGTAATTCCAGTTACTCAGGGAGCTAAGACAGGAGATGTCCAGGTTTAAGGATAGTTCAAGATCAGCCTGGTTAATTTAGCAAATATTCTGTTTCAAAAAGAAAAGTAGAAAAGGGCTGGGGGTGCAGCTCAGCAGTAGAATGCTTGACTAGAATCCCCCAGTGAGGGGCTGGGGCGTGGCTCAGTGGTAGAGCCCCTGCCTAGAATCCCCCAGTGAGGGGCTGGGGCGTGGCTCAGTGGTAGAGCCCCTGCCTAGAATCCCCAGTGAGGCGCTGGGGTGTAGCTCAGTGGTAGAGCCCCTTCCTAGAATCCCCTAGTGAGGGGCTGGGGTGTGGCTCAGTGGTAGAGCCCCTGCCTCGATTCCCCCAGTGAGGGGCTGCGGTGTGGCTCAGTGGTAGAGCCCCTGCCTCGATTCCCCCAGTGAGGGGCTGGGCATGGTTCTACCCTTGCCAAGCATTTAAGCCTGAGTAGGACCCTGAGTTCATCATTGCTACTGCAAAGGAGGAGAAGAAGATGAAGGGGAAGGTGACGGTGGCACTGGAGAAATGGCTATTTAGGGAGCAAGGAGAAGCCCTGAGACTAGAGTCCAGAGAGATAGCCCTGCAATCCAAGGCAAACTGTGGGTCAGACAGGCCAGATCCTAAGAGTCTTTAGGGTTAGGATTCCATCCTGGTACCACGTGGAGCAATGGGGCCTGCTGATCTGTTGCTCGTCACTCGTTGACCTGTCCCAGCCCCAGTTTTCCCCATATGCAAATCACTGGGGTGACGGCAGCCTTAGACTATAGCCAGACCTGGGGTATGAGCTTTCACTGCGGCAATGAACTCAGCAGCTTCTCGACAATAACTGAGCAGGAGTCATACACACCCACCACATGACCGCCTGGGTCACATGACCTGAATAGAGCCTTACTGTGTAGTCCAGGCTAGCCTCAAACTCACAATCCTCCTGCCTCAGGTTCCTGAGCATGGGGAGATGTACGCTACCACGCCGAGCCTTGGCCTATCTACGCCTTCATTCTACATGAAAACATGCTCTTGTAGACTGCATGAGCCAATCCCATCAAGCCTTGAGGCTGGTCCCTGGCCTAGAGGTCAGTGTTTCTAAGTTCAGTCAGGGTGACTGAGTCCAATGCCAACTGTTCAGATTCTGGAATCTCGTTTCTTCGAAAAAGCATGCTCCGCTCTACCCTTGTTACCCCTTTCTGCTTCCCTGGGTCACAGAGAAGCAAGTTGGAGGTGGCCTTGGGGAAGCCTCATCCCTTCATTCCACTGTGGTTTCTGCCTCGTGTTCCTGTGGCTATTCCTTCCATATGCTCAGTCCCGCCCACAAGTCTGAAAGCTGTTCCAGACACATTGCTACCGGCCGCCATCCGTATAAAGGACAGATAAAGCCGCTACTACCTCAGAGGTTGGAGTCTAAGGAATGAATTAATTCTGTCCCTCTAGAATGAGTTTTGACCACACCCCCATGATATACATATGTCCATTACAATTGAAATCACGGTGGGAGGCCTGTGGTCCAGGGCACACCATCATACGGCCAAGCCTGTTCACCACATTCGAAAGGCCTTTAAAGTTGTATGTGTATGAATACATAAGCAAAAACTTAACTCCTCTCCTTGGGAGCGATGCACTTTGATAATTTCTAATCTTTTTCAGACTCTCTATGTGTGTGTGCGTGCGTGTATGTGCAGCAGGTACACATGCATGTTTGCACACATGGAGGACAGAGGACAACAGTGGGTATCATTCCCTAAGCACCGTCTACCTTGGCTTGGAGATAGGCTCTCCCACTGCCAGGAGCCCCAGGGATCCTCCTGCCTCTGCCTCCCCAGCGCAGGGATTACAAGCCTGCTCCATTATACTCTGCTTTCTCACTGGGTTCTGGGACTTGAACTCGGACCCTCATGCTTGCAAGGCAAGCACTTTGCTGACAGAGCTATCTCCTCAGCCTCATGGAGGTTTCAGTAAGGTGTAGAGATACACACCTGGCAATCCAGGACCTGGACGGTGGAGGTAGAGGACCAGGAGGTCCAGGGTCCTTCGTAGTAAGTTTAAGACCACCTGGGCAGCGTGAGACTTTTTCTCAACAATGAAATTGAGAAAGCAAATATTTGGAACTGCATAGAATACTCGTGGGTGACTTGTCTAGGGCTTGGATAGCAACAACACCCTTGGCGGGTAGACCTCGGAAGCTAAGCAGGGTGGGATCTGCAGAGCTTGGATAGGATCAACCGAGTCACTTAGACTAAAGCCTATGACTTGGGCACAGTGGCTCATGCCCGTAATCCCAACACTGTGAAGCTGAGGCAGGAGGATTGCCACAAACCTGAGGCCATCCTGGGTGCGTTCTAAGCCGGCCTGGACTACAGACAAAATCCTTTCTCCAATAGCATGACATAATACACGTGTCGATGTACAGCAAGTACAAACACAGTTATTAATCCTGAGAATACTCTGCACGTCCCATCATGCCCCTCCAGGGCCTGCCCTACTCACCTGGGTACAGCGGCTCCTGGTCACTCCGGAGGAGGATGGTCACTGTGGAGAAGGGAGTAGTGAGAGCAGGCAGGTTGCAGCCCTTGGGGGAGGTGAGACCTCAGGAGCTGGGGGAGGGAGGTGCTCTCACCAATGGCCCAGGACGCAGCCCCAATGCCTGTCAGGAGCAGCAGTGTCCCCACAATGACAGCCGCCACCTTGGGTCTGGAGCAGCATGGAGCCGTCCGGACACCTGCAATAGACACCAAGCTGGGGTCACTGCCAGGCCTATGCTTGGCACAGCAAGGGTTGGGCCCTGGGCCAGTACCCTGACAGGGAATGGAGAGTACCTTATCGGGCCTGGCCTGGGGTGCCTCGAGCCCCATTTCCTAGGGCCAGGCAGCTGGCAAGGCTGTCGCGCTCTCCTGTCGTGTGGATAGCCAGGTGTCTGGCTCCCCAAGTGTTCCAGCTGAGAAGGGGGTATGGCTGGGCCGGCTGCCACCTCCCTGCCTCCCTCCCTGGTGCTGGCAGTTACTCCTCCCCAGTGACAAGGCACTTCTGGACTTCCTTTACTTCTTCCTGCTAGCCTGTCCCCAGATCCTCTCTCTGCTAACTTTTCCAGAAACTCTTACAACTCTGAGGTGCCTGCGACCTCTGACCTTTTTACCCTCTTGGTAACCCTAAAGCCAGACCTCTCTCTCGCAAGACCCAGCTCTAACATCAGATTTGTCCCTGGGAGGTTGAGAACACAAGTTTTAAAACTTAGCTGAACTTTTGTTTTGTTTTGTTTGTATTTTGAGACAAGGTCTTACTACATAGTAACGCCAGCATCAAAATCCCCGTGTAGTCCAGGCTGGCCTCAAACCAGTAAGAATTTTCCTGATCCGTCCCCCCCCCCCAGTGCTGGGATAACAAGTATAACAAGTATGCACCACGGTCCACCATTCCTGCCCATGCTTCTGCTTCTGTTTTGTTGTTGTTCTTTCTCTTTCTTTCTTTCTTTCTTTCTTTCTTTCTTTCTTTCTTTCTTTCTTCCTTCCTTCCTTCCTTCCTTCCTTCCTTCCTTTCCTTCATTTTCTTTTCTTTTTTGTGTTTATTTGTTTTTGTTGTTGTTGTTGTTTTGTTTTGTTTTTTGGTTTTTCAAGAAGGGTTTCCCTGACTGTCCCGGAACTCACTCTTTAGATCAAGCTGGCCTCGAACTCACCTGCCTCTACCTCCTGAGTGCTGGGATTAAAGGTGTGCACCACCAAAACTCAGATATGTTTTTTGTTGTTGCTTTTTTTTTTTTAAAGACAAGGTCTCTCCACGAAGCTCAGACTGGCTTCAAAGTTGTGATCCCCCTGCCTCCACCTCCTGAGTGCTAGTGTGATGGGCATGTGCCACACCAGGCCTGGCAACTTCACTTTGAAATCGTGGCATTGGAAAGATGGCTCAGTGAGAGAGAGCACTTTCTGGGCGAGCATGGGGACCTGAGTTAGGATCTGGTGCCCATGTAGAACTCCAGGTGTGGTGGTGCACATTTGTGAGACCAGCACTGTGGGGCTGGCAAAGACAGGAGGGTGTCTTGGGCTTGCTGGCCATTAGCCTGGCTGCAGGAGGCTCAGTGAGAGACTCCATATCCAGGGAATAGGACAGAGTGATATAATATCAGGACACTCCGTGTCTTCCCCAGTATGTGCGCAGGCACCCACATCCACACACCATACTCGTACACATATATGCACATGCAAACACACAGAGAAAATAGAAATACATAAAAGAAGGAAAAAATTAAGATTAGTGACCTTACCCTTTCCTGACTGGGGTCTTGGACACGTGAAACCACCTCTGTGAGCCCCAGGTTCCCCATCTGTTAAATGAGCATGCACCTAGCACCCACTTTTAAATGACCCTAAAGTTCTTTAAATACATACTCATAGCCAAGCCACGGCTGCCACCCCCCATGTGCCCAGAGTTCAGCCTATAACTCCAACCACAACACGGTGCCCCTTTCCCCCATGGCTCTGAGAAGGTCAGTCAGGCATCTCCAGTGACCCAGCCTGCAGCCACTTCCTGAACCCTGGGCACACTGGGATCCAGATCCAAAGCATGTCCCCAAGAAGCTGAGCCACCTCTCACTATGCCATTGTGCCTGGCGTACAGCAGGTCCTCAACAAATGTTGATAAGCCATTATTGCTGTGTGATCACGGGCAGCTGTCACTGTGTCTCTGAGCCGCAGGGTATCAGTAGGACAGAACACTCCTCCATCTTGTCTGTTAAGCATTGCGGGCTTGGGCATCAAATGGGGCTTCTGAAAGGAAATGGGGAGACTCCTCGGGAAGAGATTATCTAAGACCTGCAAAGAGAGATACAGAGGTGCAGAACGGTGCCTTGAAGGGTGCGCCCAAGCTAAGACTGGCAGGCAAGACTGCGCATGCTCTGTTAAGAAGGCTGCAAGACCCAAGAGGCAGCCAATGGGCAAGAGCTGGAGGAAGGCTGTGGGAGGCCAGCAGCCCAGAGAGAACAGGGCTTTCTGTCTCAGTAACGGAGATGCTATGGACTGAACACAACTGCCAAGAAAGCCTTCCGTGGACCCCAACTTGAGTGAGGCCTCTGCAAGAGCCCCAGCCCTCTCGGTAGCATGGCTAGTGGTCACAGTACGAACTCAGCACTAGGAAGAGAGCAGGGAGTGGCTCAGGATCTTGCCAGGGCACTTCCTGTTAGTGGTTTAAGACAAGGTGTCATTTACAGAGGAAAATAGCTCAATAGTGCGTGAGAACTGGTCATGCCTGTCACCCCAGCACTGACCGCCATGCTGGGCCCTGGGGCTCCTACAGCCTCTGCACACCTTCCTCCTCTTTATGTTCACCACAACTGTGCTGGCCACAGCGTCTTTCAATGCCTGCCCCTCCTCCCCTTTCCCCGCAGTAGCCCTGTCTCCTCACCCTCATCCCAGGCCCTCCTCCCAGCAGCAGCCCTGTCTCAACACCCTCATCCCAGGTCTTCCTCCCCTCCCCACAGCAGCCCTGTCTCCTCACCCTCATCCCAGGCCCTCCTCCCCTTCCCACAGCAGCCCTGTCTCCTCACCTTCATCCCAGGCCCTCCTCCCCTCTCCTGAGCACCTCCTTCCTGCCCCCCTCGACCGAGGCCCCCATCCCATTCCCGTCACAGCCCCG